AAAATGAGCCGGCTTGGGCTCCCTAGCATTCACCAGTGACACAAGAAACTGTCAACTTGCATGCAGGCCAATTACCATATTTCAATTGCTGAGCACTGTACAGCATCGTACAAGCGAGCAAAAGAGCCGTGTCTCTTGCAGCCATTTGTCTCTTACAATGGGGTTAAACTGTATTCAGAAATCCTTAGAATTAAGGATTGAACATATTGTCTGTAATTTTTTACTGGAGAATCTAAAAAAACAGTGGATTTTTATAAGGCTCACATACTGAATACTGCTTTAGCCACGTCCAGTGTTGTGGAATCGGCCCTTTCATTCCATTCCAATTAAATTCCGGAGAATCAGTGCTTGCCATGACTCCATTCCTTTCAATTCCTTGGAATGCAAAACTTAGCCCATTCCCACTTCGGGAATGGCCGGACAAGTCAATTCCATTCCTAACATTCTTCAATGTAAAAAAGGCATCTTGATAGCTTTATCAGGCTAAGAATTAACGCCACAAAGCTGATGTCATCAGACGCATCAAGAACTGCAAGAGTATGCAAAACATGTTACCAGGGTTGAAGAATAGTAGCTTGGTCACGTATCTCGTGCAGTACAACCACACTACTGATTCTCATAGAAGCAGTTCTTTCGCTACCTATAGAATATTTGCACGGTCAGCACAGTCTTAGGAAAAAATGTTAGTAAACAGTTGGCAATGCACGTATTTATTTGTTTCAAGTGTAATTCACTACCTTCGCAGCATCTATAGCCCACAGATAGTAAAGCTTGAAACTTTTGGCGTTACTAACCAGGAAAGCTTTCTTAGTAACTGCTAGATAACTACTAAGCCACATACCTTACTAGATCTCTCGTAAACATCGCCGTATATCTTGCAAAAATCGTGACAGCCTATAGAAAAATTTAGACCAACCTTGTATTTGTTGATTACTTTGGAATAAAATATTTGTGCTAAGTGGTGACACACATGCAAATAGAAGGGTAGTCAATGATGTCTACCAAATGTCCAATATTTTATGAAGTTCTACGGCTGCTAACCAGAACACAGTGTGCTATTCTAAAATAGGAGCATAAATAGCTTTCAAACGGCTGTCACAGTAGGTACCGGCTACGTCTTGAAATTCTGTGTGCCCGTTTGTGCGCATGTCCTCGTCTGTGATTCGTTCATGCCTCTAGGTATGTTGCTGTGATGCATACTTGCATTAGTAATTATATGAATTAATTAGTGACAACTAATTAATCTACGTGTACAATCGCACCTTGCTTATTCTTCTATATATACTTTCACAATAGAATCATTTTGATATGGCAATGTACATGCACATATAAACACATAATAACTTACAATTTAGTAATGTATTAATCATTCGAGTCAACACCAGTCACGAACTACTTTGCAAACTAGCAAGTTTCAGAGCCTGCATTATACTACTTTCACTTACTAGGTGGTTAGTGCTTTTTGTGACAAGTAAACGGTTAGTACTTAGTGAATATGCAGATTCTTTTTTCTTAGAGTGCATGATTGAAAGAATGGTTATGTTTTAATATTGTTTAGGCTTAAATGCGTTAGAGCTACAATGACGACATAGCAAATCGTGGCTAAGGGATTCAAGGAGGTGCTGCCTTGGTTACATGGGATTACCTGCTTCAGCTGACTACCAGAACTAGTGCTTTCAAAAGTCTATTCTCTTTCTCTCTCTCTATGTGTGTAAATGGTTCATCTTGTACGACAGTTCATGAGACACAAAGTTCACACAGCACACAGTTCATCGTGTACGAATATGTGCTGCACTGACCTACAGACCTTTGTGATAGAGTTTGAGGCAAAGGCACCCATGTGTGTAGGCTGGGGGGACAGTATAGAAAAAAAAAGGGGGGAGGATACTATGAGGTGAGACGGCATGCAAGCCGGTATACGAAAGTTTGCAGTAAACACAAGCATGGCACCAGCATCAATACGAATCACAACTTAAAGAAGCGCTTTTTCAAATATGCATCCGAGTCATCGATGGTGACAGACACAAAAACAAAGAAGTGAAGGATGAAGAGAGAACACGGGGTTGAGGCGGCACCGAGGGGAAAAAAATGGCGAGGCATAAGGGAGGGTATGCCGCCACTGTAGTTGCGAATGTCGGATACTATGGCACATAGTGGTGGTTACGCGAAGAATAGAGACAAACTTTGGAGCAACACATTCAGGAGAGAACTATAGGAGCATTGCTTCTGCTTGTAATCAGCTAAGCCTTCTTAAGTTACAGCTTTATTGTTAAATTTGAGGGTCTGACTAACGGTTGAAGTTTTAAAAACAGCATGTCGACGAAAATGTGGTTTATTTTCGGAAAATGACAATTCCATTCCCATTCCATTCTTCCGAACTTTGTCGCCATTCCAATCTGGGGTCTAGAAAATGTAGAATGATTCTGAATTCATTCCGATCCTGAAGTGGCAACTCTGCAACACTGGTCACAACGCAACCCAATCACACTACATAAGAAAAGTCTCAAAGCGTAATGTTCATGCTTTAATGCCTGAAACATGGGCTGATTTGTTCAGCACAAGCATTGGTGTACATATACATGCAATAAGAAGTTTCTTTGAGTACATGTGGAACCAGGTAAGATTTTATGTTAACTCATTTACTTTTTTTTAACCCTGATTACTTTCTTGCAGCTAATGGATGAGCTTGAATCATCAGAAAGTGACTGCATACATTATAAAAATTATAATGTTCTACATTTTAAGGAAATACTACAAGTCAAATGAGGCAGCACTGTTATTTAAAAAGAACCACAGGAAAAAGGAAAAAAAAAAAGTTTTTAAACATGCAGAGCTATTGGTCTCGAGATCTTGAATGGTGCCCTTTCGCATGTGGCGTCAGTTTGAGGATTCCGCTCTCAACCGCGCTGCAGCTGCCACTGCTTTTGTGCGTGGATCGTCAGCTTCTGGCGGGAATATTGTCGAACGAACAGCCTCACAAGGGTCAACCAACGCCCACAACGAATGTTTATAGGTGCAATTATGAGTTTGTTTTAGTTGCAGCCCGAATAAGAGGGCCTAGAAACCTCCCAGATGGCCAATAAGCACGCCAATGCCGCCGACCGCATAGCTGGCAAGAAAGTGTAGCTATGTGTGAGTGTTCTCGCACGTCATCTGCAGTTTCCGCCATGTAATACTAATTAGTTCGAATGTTTCAAAACTTCAACAAGCCTGCCTTTCTCCAACATCTACAAGCATGTAGATACAGCTAGCGAAACATCGTGGTGTCTCATCGACGACGCCGTGGTGTACGTCACAGGCCACGTTGTTAAATGTGCGCAGCTGCAGCCATCAATGGAGATTGCATCACCATCGCGGCTCTGCTCCTGCCGATACGTGGACTTGTGAACCCACCACACGATGTCTCCATGGTGATTGAGTGCTGCGCAATAGTGAAGTACTGCTCTGTGCCTCAAGGTGCTTCATCCGCCCATAAAAAGGACGTTAGTTTTCCCAGAAATCCTAAGGAGAAGGGCACGTTTGGCCTTTTCCTTAGAATGTTTTTTTTTCTGCAGTGCAACGATAGTGACCGTGAACACGAGCATATGTGTGATAATAGTCGATTTCTGTCACTCTGGCATTCACAAACAACACATGAGATAATTTCTGCAGAGCAGCTGTTTAAATTGCTACTTCGACAGTTAATCAAGTGTGCATGGCATGCACTAGAAATGCAGAGCAACATGAAATTACCAAATTTGAGATAATCACGCTTGAATTGCAGTTATGGGAGTCAGCAGGGCGCAAGCCCGTGTGGTATGACCGCAAGAGGATTCTTGAGTGGTAGGTGCTGGTGTGACTCAGGAAGAGGGCACGTTCCGCCTTAATTGAGCCCCCTGGCCGATGCAAATGACTGCATATTGTCTCAATAATGTTTGTTCAATGAGAGCGACATCATCAAGTAGCTTATATAATACTGCACTGGGCCGTCGCTCATGTATCAGGATATAACACATAGTGATTGTATATACCACGCACAGGGCCACAAAGATTATGCGACAACCTTTAGTGATGTGCACTAAACAGCGACAGCAGGTTTCGCTTATGAATTTATGATAAGCAGTGCGCCAGGTGCACGTTTGTTTTGATCAGTAAACTACGTGTATGTACGTACACCAACCAAATAAAGCTGTATAGTATCATGTGTCCTGCGCTACTAAGCTGCACTCACGAGGCGCGCTTACCAGAGGGGATTCGAAATCCTCTACATCGGCTCGCTGTCTAGGGGCATTAACGATAGGTTTTGGGACAGAACCTTGCCTGGTGTAAGTCACCTATGCCTGTAGCCTGCGTGCAATGAATGGCTGAAGTACTGGTGGGGCACTGAAACACAATTGCAAGCTCACCGAAAAATGGAGTGTAGGGCAGGTGTAGCGAAAGTCACTGGCAGCGAAGTGCTTGCCGCACACGGTCGATGAAGACGTGGGGCGCTTCCCCTCTCTAAGTTTGACTATATACTTCTTCCTCAGCTTCGGGTCCTTAGGATAGTTGTGAAAGCTAACACCTTTTTCACGGGTAGGTGATCATATAGAGGCACAGAGCATTACTCCATCATTCCGCAGCACTCGCCGCAGAGACAAGCAGCCGCAGTTTTAAGAAACAGTACGCTCTGCTTCTAAAATGAGCGTTACAAGTGGACACCCATGGTTAGAACAGCGTCGGTAGTAAAGATAACCAATTGAACTGCTTCTTTACCGAGTTTTACCATGATGGTGGTTTTTTTACGGTGCCACGCATTAGCGCACGAATCCTCGAGCTGGCGTCATACAGCCGCAGTTCGCAACACCGTCATCGGTCACACACACCAGACCAATAGCAAGAAAATCAGTTTACAACTCTTTCTAAAGTGTTGTTATTAGCATTCTCGTACTACTGCATATTTCCTCACATAACTGGCCAAGCCCACTTCAATGTAGTACACCAATTCATTTCATGAAGTGTTAGTAAAACATCTCTCCTACCTCCATAAACCTGACATCTGGCAGTGCAATTACACCAAATGGCTTGAGATCCAAGTCACCCAAGCTTCTGGTCATGGCCAGGCGTCCATTCACAAGATGCCTCCCATGGCTGTCCGAGATCAGCTTGCCACCAGACATCTTAATCCTTTCCTAATGACAAAATGATAACTTACAAGGTTACAATGGTCTGGTGTGATCCATTTTGAATACATTATGCAAACTTGAGTAAGTTTTTCAGGAAAACAATGCTCAATTATCTGCGTAAAGGATTCCTACTTGAGGCTTAACAATCCCATTTCTTTTTAACCCAAAGTACAGCACAGACATTTCAAACATCTCTCTTTCTTTTCAAGTTTTGGCCCTAACGCAGCATGTAAAGGTGGCTAAGCTTTTTTAGTTTTGCTTAAAACCCTGCTACACTATTCTAATGTTAACCCAGAATGGCCGTACCACAGTATGTAGAAAAAAAAATTGGCCCCGTATCTGCATGTAATCTGCAAATGTCGTCGAAAGACGATAGTCTTGCGTGTGGAGAGAGTGAACAATTAATTTGATGTTCTGCACAAAAAAAATGGTGAATGGTATTTTGGAGGTGCTGGGTTAGAGTGCCTCGAGCATGCAGCAGAGGCGAACGAGCGCATTGAGTCACATGAGACATGAGCGCCACCTGGCAGTCTGCGTGCAAAACAAAGCGCGTGTTCTGAGAAGTGCGCACGCCTGCCCGTCTCAGAGATGATAAGGTGAGAAACGCAAGGCGACAGGTAGGTGCCACCACCATCGCGTCATAGCAAAGTGTTGGAAACGCTCACCTTTTCATGCAAGCATTGAGTGGTTAGCGCAGCGGGATAAGTGCTACGGTCCTTAAAATTACTTATGTATGCATTTTCTAGTAAAAGATGCACATGCAGAACATATACGTCTTGTTATGGTGCCCCAGACTTGCACAATAATTGCTTATTAATTGACATTTGCACAAGTATGAAAGCTAAACCTTGAGCATCATTGGTGGGTGTTGCAGATGGGGTCAACCGATTCAAGTACCGAAGACCGTTAAGAGTGGACAAACAGATAAATGTACAGACAGACAAATTTTTGCTTTGAGGGTCCCCAAGAAAGACTATCGTCTTTAAAAGGAAAAGGAGCACGACCATCTTTCGTGATAACAGGCAAAGAAACCCTGGAGGGAAGGGGGTGCGAACGACGAAAACTGGAAACGAGGAGGAGAGGGCTCCCAACGAGGGGGACGGAAGGCTGGTGGCTCTAATCGGGAGAAACGCGACCAAGCGACAGAGAAGAGAAGACGTTTTTGCATTGATCATGAATACAGTCAGTTATTTCCTTGTTACTACAGCTTTTTCGTGTGACTTTCCAACGAGTTTTTGTCAAAAGCGCAATGAAAAGTATTTAATGCACAGTACTCGTGTCCTGCCATAACAATCCCACTTGCTTTCATTCTTGTATTTCTACCGATTGAACAAGTAGTAAAATCGTATAAACAAAAATAAAATCATATAAACATTTAAAAGTCATCCTTTCGTCCAATTTTTAATGGGGCACCCCATATTACTAACATTCTTACAGCATCAAACAAAACACTCGGTTTTCTTAAATGCCAACTCTGCCATGCCTCATCATATAACAAGGTACTTGTGTATAATGTGGTAAATTACTTGTGTATAACGCACTTATAAGACCCAAATTAGAATATGCATTGGCTGCCTGAAGCCTGCAACAAGCACATCTAATTAATGGATTGGAAGCCATTCAAAATCAGGCCCTCCAATTCGTTCATTCCTTATATTCATACGACGTCAGTACCTCACATTCGAAAGCTCAACCTGGAGTACTTCTTTTTTATTGTCACTGTATTGCTAGCTTTACACTTTATCACAAGTTTATTCATTCTTCCTTCAGTGAAGTGCTGTATATCATAGCCACAGCATGCACATACTACTGCATGGGTCATCACCTTCAATTTGCTCGCCCATCATCGCACATCACAATATTTAGTGCTTCATTACTCCTTTGAGCAACTTCAGACTGGAACAATCTACACTCGGAGATTATACCAAACTTGAGTGAATATTCGTATTTCTCAGAAATTCGAACTATTGCTGCATTTGAGTTTACTTCAATACTTCAATCGCTAAAAATTTCAGAGTACTTAAATAAATGAATGTTGAAGAAGATAATACGTTACATACATAAAACCTGCACACATGAAGCACAGACTTCCAACTGGTTTATTTCTTGAAGGTAAAACATTTATAAGGTTTGAAAAGCACCAATCGCACTGATAAACTTGCAATCTGTGGAAATGTGGCAAGAACACATGCGCGATGAAATTTGGAAAAGATCATAACATGCACATATAAGAAATCGATTTTCTAATGTGATAAAGATAATTAGGTTGAATTCACACGTGTCGCTTCTTTTTGCTATGAAGAATGCCTCTAAGTTCTTGTTTGTGTTTTAGAAAGGAATTTTGTTTTTTCCAGCTGCGGAAAATGGCTGTCACAGTTCTTGCAGTGTAAGGCTAGATTACTGCCCAAGCCAGCAAGCATAGACTGCTTGCATTCTGCGCTCACTGAAACAGCATCCGGTTTGACTGATATACGAACAGCCACATGACACGGAAATTTCATAAAGGACATTTGACGCACATCAAGTGTACCTTGAACATATTGTGGTTTTTTTCACCCTCCCTATGACCATCCTTTTTTTTCTCTTTGGTTAGCATAGGGCACACTTTCTTGTGTGTGCATGGCGATGAAAACATGATGCAAATCCTGTGCCTTTCCTCAAGGAAAGGCACAGACTCAAAGGTTGCCATTTTTTTGTAGTCATAGGTAATTTTCTGAATTACTCACCGTAGTGACAAGGCCTGTCACAGCTATTTTGACGGGCCCCCACATTGCAACAGTACTGCACTGACAGGACTCGTCAACGTGGTCACTGCTTTTTTTATAACACACTGGTCCACTTTTGGCGCGACGATGAGTGTGCTAGTGCAAGTCTATCGTATGTCATTCTAGCATGACAGAGTGGGGCGCGAATTTATGGCAGCCGCGGCAACTATGCAACAGATGAATCCTGATATTAGCTGATGCCAAACCTCCTGCTTATGGAGTAGTGCGTGGCTTGTCTACTACAGAATTCGCCAAGAAATGGGAAAAAATTTTTAGCAGTCTTTGAAACATAACTATAAATTTCTCGCATTGTGCGGTTCTATAATATCTGGCTAACATGTTCATAGGAGCCTCGACTATTGATTGGCCACATTTTTTGACCATGCTCAATAAGTGTAGCAGCGAATCCTTAAAAGGAGAGTAGGAGTGCAGCTGCCGCCATAACATTTTAGTCAGTCAGTCAATGAACTTTATTTACAAATTGTCCTGAGGAGCCGATTCCCCTCAAGGGGGAGGGTCGGCTGCGGGCCGCACCCACGTGGGGACAGGAAGAGCGAGCCCCTCCGCCAGATTGCGGGCCCTCTGGACAGCCCGGATTTGGACCTCTCGGTCCGAGCTGGTAATTGCCGTCCTCCAGGCAGCTTCTGTGCTGAGAGGCTCGCCATCGCGCAGCGCCGCGCATTGCCAGAGCATGTGGGGTAACGTGCAACGTCTCTCTTCGCAATGAGGGCATTGCGGCTTTATGCTGTCGATAAACTTGCTGTACACTAAAGGCGACGGGTAAGTACCCGTTTGCAGCATTCTTAAAGTGACTGACTGGGCCCTAGAGAGTTGCGTTTTAGCAAGACTTTCCCAGCCCTAAAATGCTGAACCTATATGGCTACTTTTATCAAGGTCGCCCCTACACCTCCTCTCCTTATCAACTGAATCACATCGCTTAGTGTAACTGTCCCTGCAAAAAAAAAAAAAAAAAATCCTAGCACAACTCCTAGTGGCGCGAGATGTACAGGATGCCCCAAGTAACTCGAGCCGGAGTTTCAAAATATGCTGACACACAGTACGATGGCACAAACAAATCTATGTTGCTGACTATTGCATGGTGTAAGTCACACTATTTTTACTGTATTTCTTAATTAAGTAAAATTAATTCACTACAGTTTGAAGCAACAAATCTTGCCAGAAATTATAATTATAATGTTGTATATCAGTTTGCAAAACTTCCGATTTGACAGTTTCTACCCTTCTGTATATTAAGCTTTGGATGATGATGAATCAACTTTTAGTAGGCCCAACTGTGCTGGTAGTGCACTCAGGGCCCACCCTGGTGGTCTAGTGTTTATGGTGCCTGACTGCTGGCTCCAAATTCACAAGACCAAATCCTGGCCACTAGAGCCACATTTCATAAAAGGAAAAATGGGAGAATCCCATGTGCTTAGTGTTAGGCAAAAAACTCCAGGTGGTCTGAAATTCCAAAGCCCTACATTATGGCATCACTCATAATCACATCGTGGCTTTGGGGCATAAAGACATTCTGCAATTATTATTTTAATGAATTTTCAAGTATTAATGCTTTTCCACTTATTATAAATGCTTACAAAAAAAAAAGAAACACGTGACATGCCCGCCTGCACGCCTATGTGCACCACAATTATTAAGTATTATTTAGTAATTTTTCACTTATTTCAAATGCCCGCAACATGCAAAAAAATATCATGTGACATACCCATTTGTCGCCTATGTGTACCCAAATTGCAGGCTCCCTAACTTCCACATGAAAATGACTATAGCATTTGGCCGGTAGTGCTGCTGCTTGAAAGACAACAATGCAACAAAAGGCAACAACAAGGACATTGCCCTTCTTGTACGGCCAGGGCTTACGAGGAGTCACGGTGAGCCTTTCACACATGGCACGCACCCGTATATAAGTTCCACACATTTAGGGCCTTCTCACCCCTGATTAAGAAGCTTTGAAACGTCTGGTTTTTGTTCTTAATATATTTTTTGTTGGAGTTTTTTCATTCTTCCATTTTCTATTCTATCCAGGCATACTGCAGCCAAATGTTCACCTTTGATTCTATAAAAAGAAAACTTGGCCAAAAAACCAAGCAGCTTGCCAAGAGTTTCACCAAGATTGTCGAGAGGATAACTGTGTTCAAGTCCCGCCTCGAATTCAACAGCTCATGCAAGGAGAACGGCGTCATCCCACAAAGCTTAAAGTATGCAATGCCCAGTTTTTTCGTC